TTGCTCGTGTACCAGTAGCAACTTCTTAGATGAAATACATCCAGAATGGAAAAATAATTTGCTGCCTGTCCCCAAAGCAAAATTTAGTAGTTGTAATTCTTCAATGAAACCCTTGGGAATTGTAGTAATGCCATTAATCTTTCCGCACTCCAAAGGATCTTTAAGATTATCCATAGAATTTGTAGTTCTTCAGGATGCCATTTGTGATTACTTGATCTTAGGAAATGACACTTTTTGCATGTATGGCATAGACATATTTCAGAGTAAGAACAGATTCTATACTATTGGCGGAGATTGGAAAAGGAAGTTCCAAATTTGCAATGTGAATATCAAACTCCCTGATGTACCAGATGAAATGACGGAAGAAATGATGTCCTTCAAAGCTGAATATCTTTCTCAAGCAGCTGTTAGTGATATTTTGGATGAGCAACAGAAATTAGACGTACTTAAAACTTGCTTCATAAATAAAGAATCCTTTTGTACTACTGAAGAACCCATTGGTAACATAAAAGGTCATGACATGAAATTGGAATTAACTGTTAAAGAACCTTATCCTCCTATCTTGAGAAGACCCCCTTATCCTTCCAGTCCTAAATCCAGAGAAGCTTTAGAAACACACATTAAAGAGTTAATGGAATTAGGTGTGCTGAGGAAAGTGGGACATAATGAGCAAGTAGAAATTACTACTCCAGTAATTATTGCCTGGCATAATGAGAAATCAAGAATGGTTGGTGATTTCAGAGCCCTGAATAACTACACTAGACCTGATTATTACCCAATTCCACGTATTGATCACTCATTGCATAATTTATCCAAAGCTAAATATATCACAACTATGGATGTTCTTAAAGGATTCCATCAGATACCCATTGACCCAGATAGCAGAAAATTTTTGAGAATAATTTGTCATTTGGGAATATATGAATATTTAAGAATGCCCTTTGGAATAAAAAATGCCCCTTCCCATTTTCAAAGAATGATGGACTCAATTTTTGGCGCATTCATCAGACAAGATTGGATGATGGTCTACATAGATGATATAATTATATATTCAAATGACTGGGAAACCCACTTAGAGAAAATTAATCTAGTGCTGAGTACCGCCATTAAGACTGGTTTGAAAATGTCCATTAAAAAATGCAATTTTGGTTACGGAGAACTGAAAGCTCTGGGAAGAATAGTATCTGGCCTAACTCTAGCTGTAGATCAAAATAAAGTAGCTGCTGTTATGAAAAAAGAACCTCCTCATAACATGAAAGAAATGATGTCATTTTTGGGATTCTGCAGTTACTACAGGCAACATATTCCTCAATTTGCCATAGTAAGTAAAAACTTGTACGCCCTATGCAAGGATGATACTATTTATGAGATGACCTGGGAAAGAGTCCAAAATTATGAAGAATTGAAAAGATTGCTTACTTCAGCTCCAGTCCTAGCTCAACCTGATTATGACAAACCTTTCATCCTCTACATTGATGCTTGTCTAGATGGGCTTGGAGCTGCTCTGCATCAAGAATTTGTTATAGATGACAAACCCATGGAGAAACCTATTCTCTTTATTTCTAGACAAATCAAAGAATCAGAAAGAAAATATGGAGCCAGCCAGATGGAATGCTTAGCTCTAGTATGGGCTCTAGATAAATTACACTACTACTTAGAAGGTTCTCACTTTGTAGTTATCACTGACTGCACAGCTGTCAAAACTCTGATGAACATGAAAACCCCCAACAGGCACATGTTAAGATGACAAATTGCTATTCAGCAGTATAGAGGACATATGACTATCATCCATAAAGCAGGCAAGAAACACATGAATGCTGATGGGTTAAGTAGATGGGCCCTCCCCAATACCCCTGATAACCCCGCCTATGATCCTGAGGATGAAGACATATTCCCTATCCTAGGAATTCACGTATGTGACATGGAAAATGCCTTTTATGAATTAGTTCAGAGAAGTTATGACCAAAATAGTGAATTACTAAAATTAGTAGAAATATTGAGAAATGACAGTAGCCCCCCAGAACTAGCAGCTAGTTTAACACCAGTTCTGTCCAAACATTATAAACTAGGCAAATTCACGCTATTTGATGGCTTGTTGTATTACAGACACAAACACTCAAGCGTACTTGTCTTATGTGATGAAGGACAAATAAAAAATATTCTTCAAGAATGTCATGATAATGTAAATTGTGGTCATTTTTCAGAAGAAAGAACAGGGGAAAGAGTCAAACAAACTGCATGGTGGATTGATTGGAAAACACAAGTTCATGAATACATCAAATCATGTGACACCTGTCAAAAAGCAAACAAACAGACAGGCAAGAGATTTGGACTGCTTCAGAAAATTGCTGAACCCACGGATAAATGGGAAATCATCAACATGGATTTTGTTACTGGATTACCTCCCGGAGGATCTTACTCTTACAACTCAGTACTAGTTATAGTTGATAGATTTTCCAAGAGGGCAAAATTTATTCCTAATCATAAGGATGATACAGCCATGGAAGTAGCTATGTTATTCTGGAACAGACTAATGGCTGACGTAGGCATTCCCAAAATAATCATTAGTGACAGAGACCCCAAATTCACATCTGAATTCTGGAGAAACTTACATGATATGTTAGGAACAAAATTAGCTTTCTCCACAGCTTATCACCCTCAGACTGATGGCTTAGCTGAAAGGATGATACAAACCCTGGAAGACATGCTGAGAAGATTCTGTTCATTTGGATTTGAGTTCAAAAATCATGATGGATATACTCATGACTGGGTAAGCTTACTACCAGCCTTGGAAATAGCTTACAATAGTAGCATACATTCCTCAACTAAAGTAGCACCCTATATACTTGAAAGAGGATGGATCCCACGCATGCCCAAAGATACCATCAATGACAAATTACCTCATGTACACCCTACAGCACTAGATTTCAAGAAAATGTTAGATTCCACAAATTTACATGCCAAGAAATGTGTTGAAGATGCTGTAGAGTATAATAAGAATAGATGGGATAAGAGTCATAAAGAACCTGAATTCAAAATTGGAGATAAAGTACTTCTTTCTACCGTAAATTTTAATAACCTTGGTGGGAACAAGAAACTCAAACCTTCATTTGTTGGTCCCTTTACTATCAAACAACTACACGGGAAAAATGCTGTAGAAGTTATATTGAGTGAAGAGTTATCTAGAAAACACCCTGTTTTTCCAGTAAGTCTTGTTAAACCTTACACACAAAGAACAGCAGATACTCCTGTAGTCCCAGAACCCGTACCAGTCTTAGAAACTCCTCCTACTGAGAAACTTAAGGTTCATAAGATACTCAAGGATAAGAAAGAGAGAGTACAGGGAAAAGATACTAGACTTTACTTGATAAGGTATAAGAACCAGTCAGCAGACAAAGATGAATGGCTACCTGAGAATAATATCCCGGATGGAGCTATAAATTTGAGGAATTATAGAGCTTCCAAAAGAACATCCTAAGGAGTGACACAATTTTTTTCTCTATCCCTCTTAAACTACTATTTCTTTTTTTATGAGTAAACTCATCTTAGGGGTAGGGAATGTCAGCTTGCTACTATGGCAGAGACAACCTGTCATAGCAAATAAAATAATAAATTATATAAAAAATCTAAGTATAAAGTAAAATTATTACATAAGTAAAAGAAGCAATATTACTTATGTAAATAAGATAAAAAATACATAAAAATAAATGAATAACTTAAAAAGTATAAACAAAACCTTAAATATTATTGCAGATTCTGAATCAGCATACAATTTAACCTAGGGTACCTCAGCCAAAGGTACCCCAAATTATAACTCCTTCACCTTGTAATACATGCATGAATAATTAACAGGTACCCCCATATCACGGGTACTGTGACTCCTCTGCATAATGCATAATGCATATACTCCAAATCCAGTCTCAGAATTGGAGTATTGTGCACGGTTTAGAAGATAGAGCTGTGTGGAGTCCTGTCTCCAAGCCCACGCGCCACGTAGTCATGCTGCGCACCAGTATCCAAGGATTGGGCCACAAAAGCCCCAGAATCCCCATTGCACGTGACAACAAAGCCTCCACACGTGTAATAAGAATGTGAACAAGCTAGAATATCCATGAAAATACTACAGTAACCATATTCCAATGGGTAACACGTGTAGCAAGCCTCAGAAGACACCTCTGGAATATTCTGTGGCCCATTTCCAAGGAACCTGCTCCACGTAACAGAGTAGCCCCTATCCACAGGTCCCCATGGGACATTCTTGGCTGTAATAATTTCGTGCATGGCCCCTTGGAGCTTCTGGAATATTATCCCCAAGGTTCCAGCCCTGGTTACATCACCATGTGGGCCAAAATGGGCCAAAAAGCGCCCCCAAGTCCTACTAAGCTCCCCTGGGCAACCCCTGAGGCCTTCCACAGGTACTTAAAGGGCCTTCTGACCGCCCAAATAATGATCCCCCAGCTTAACAATACTATATAGAAACATACTTACCATTTACAAGTCCCCTACACTTGTAATTAGCCTAGTTATTACTATTTTTGCTGTTATTAAGCCTCAAGAACCCTCAAGAAACTCCCCAGTGATCATCCAGCACCCAAAATCAACCTTTCTGAGCGCTCCCAACTGTCCAGTTTCTACTAAGAAGATCCTCAAGACCCCTTAGGATTATTACTAGTAAGTAATAACCCTTTCTTGAAGATTTTCCCCTTAAAATTATCTCCTGGGATTTAAACCACACCTGTTACAGGCCCCAGTGTATCAGGTACCTAAATCCTCTGCTTTTTGCACGATACCTTAGAGGGATTAAACCACCCCTGATTTATCAGGCCCCTCTGGTTTTATTTATATTAATTTTATTAATATAAATTGGCCACTTTTTGGATTTAATCCCTAAATTCTACGTAATTCTTTTGAATTACCTGTACCAGTTTTATCCCAGAGTTTTTTCCATAAAAACTCTTATATTTTGCACCTTGTGTAGCTAGAGGACACTTGTCTTGGCATCACATAGGCTGACACACTTGATCCTGCTCGCCTGGTCTGTGGCTAGGATCGTGGCGTTTGGGAGGGTTGACATTAGAAATACGAGAGGTAGTGTCAACAAGGATTGAAAAGAAACCACTTCCTGTTGGCACTCTCTTGATAACACGACAGAAGATGTGAAAAAACGACATGTCAGTTGATTTGCCGCCACCGAGTAGTTCGCGGGCTTCGTCAATTGCCAAAATCACATTGAGATTGCTTTGCGTCATAAACGTGGTACTTCTCGCAACCATTTTCACTGCCTCTGAGAGATCCGGCTCGCTATCTGGGTCAGACTGGTCGGAGATGTCAGCCATCTTCTTCCGAACTTTGGTCCAGAAAGGTGGGTCGTCCGGGACATCCTTTTGGGGGAAGCTGTGACTGATCCATTGATTCAATCTCCTGCACAGTCTGTGTGTCGTTCTGAGCCAAAAAGTAGTCGGCCACAGCATGCATTGATACAGTGTTTCCAGATCTACACACTTAGGGTCAAGTAGAATTTCACTGGGATAGATGGATCGCGGCGGGTATCCGGTTGAGTGTGAGGGGAGGAGACAAATATAGACAACACATACACGCCTTGACATCTCCTTTAGCAGGCGCGTCTTCCCACTCAGCAATGGTGCAATGAATGAACTATAAGGAGCTAGGTTTTGGTGGGTCGCCATTCAGCTTCGAATTTTGCAACGGTGTTGATCGTTAGCTCTACTAGATTTTGGGAATTCAAATACGCATGGTCAAATCCTTCGGCAATAATTTGGCTTTGGAAACTTGTAGACATGATGGACTTCTTGAGAAGCTTTTGAGTCTTCTGGGACAATTGGCAATTGAGTGCCTTGACTCTCTTCTCGTGAGCGATTTCGGGATCTTGAGCAATTCGATAGAAATACAGGAATGCCTCTTCAGCGTTTACAAGGCTCGGATGAAATTCTAGAAAACGTCTCCATTGAGCTAATGCGGCTCCATCCAATGACGTAGCAAGCTGTGCATCTTGAACTGTTGCCAGAAGTGTCTCGGCCTCTTGAGATGACTCGGTGTCAATTACCTCGATTCTCTTGTCATGACTAATGAGGAAATTTCGAGGGATCTCTGGGTGATTTTGCGCAAAGGCGAGGCGGGAAAGTTCCTTTTGGAGGGGCTCGTTAAGTGTAATTTTGAAGAGAATTACAATGGTTTTGAATTGTTGAGTCCTTTTGAGAAGGGCGCACCACCCCTTTGCAAACTGGGACTTGTCTAGCTTAAGATTGGCGCAAAGGCTATCAAGAGCGTCAAGATGTTCCTGGACAGCTGGCACTTGGGGGGATGGTAGGGAAGCAATGATGAGCTGAGAACTATTCAAGCAAGGTCAGGATGAACGGGCAAGCAAGCAAGGTAAACATACATCCGATAGTACTGTAGAAGGATTGGAATCTTTCCGCGGGGTGGTCGATCTGTGAATCCATTTAGCACATCAATCTTTCCTAAGGTACTCTGGTCAGGGATTTGCCACAGCACATCCCTTAGGTTAGCTGTGGAACTAGTTCCTCCGGCTATCCGCGTTTGGGTGGTTAATAGAATTTTCAAATTCATGATGCTTAGGATCAAGCAATCATTTATAAGAATTTTAATTCCTATGGACCAAAGGAAGATAGCATGTTTTTTCATCTTTCAGAACTGTCTAATAATTAATGGTCTAATCATTTTCTATTTTAGGAGATAGGTTTGGAGCAAAGAAACCCTATCCTCAAATAAAAAAGGGTGGGTGGGAGGTCAAGAAAAATTTCACTGTGAATTTAATAGTTCGAGGAGAATAAGATTGAAAGTCAAGTCTGATGAGTTGGGTGAATGGATGAGGGGAAAGAGAAATGTAGCGATGGGGGATAGAAGTTAAGTTTTCTATCTCCGTCACGAAATGGCACATCTAGCGCTTTGACCACAGTATTCCAGGGCTGGTCTGGAATACTGCCAACCCAACAATTCTCAGACTTGTCCGTGCACATGGACAACAGCACCTTCCTTACTGCGTAGTTCAGGTGCTACATATCCATTTAGCACATCAATCTTTCCTAAGGTACTCTGGTCAGGGATGTGCCGCAGCACATCCCTTAAGTTAGCTGTGGAACTAGTTCCTCCAGCTATCCGAGTTTGGGTGGTTAATAGAATTTTCAAATTCATGATGCTTAGGATCAAGCAATCATTTATAAGAATTTTAATTTCTATGGACCAAAGGAAGATAGCATGTTTTTCATCTTTCAGAACTGTCTAATAATTAATGGTCTAATCATTTTCTATTTTAGGAGATAGGTTTGGAGCAAAGAAACCCAAAAACTCAGGGAAACTAATGGTGTGAGGAGCCTGAGCCTAGTGCAAAAAACCCAAATCTCCAAAACCAGTTCATTTTCTGAAAGAAAACAGCATATAAATCCTCTTCCCACAACTCACTCAACTCGTCCACAATTTTCTTTGCTTCAATAAGGTCTGAGTCTGTGTAATCCCGAATGTAAAGTTTGTAACAATTAGAAACCCACCTGCCTAGAATACAAATCTCCTCAGCAGGTGTTCCCAGCGCAAATCTGAGTGAAGCGCCGCCGACTCGAAATGAATGGCCTAGGAGTCCGTCAAAGCCACCTGAACGCAACACCAATTGAATCCTGTTAACCGCTATCGCCCTAGTTAAATGTTTTCTCGTCCCATCGCTATAGAACCCAAAAAGGGAGGTCTCTTTTCCGTCGGCCTCTTCTAATCTTTGTTTGATTGCTAAAACCGGACAGAGCATGTTCTTTAAGCTGTGTAGGACCATCTGTTGAGGTTTCCCTGGCGTTGCTGTTTTAGCATCTCTAATAGATAGTATGACCTTTTCTCCGATTGCCAATTTTATTATGCAAACGTCTGACGTTAACAGAGATACTTGGGTGTTTAACGATCCGAAAGGTTTCTTGTAGGTCAAGTCTCTGATTCTTGCCATTCCCCAAAAAGCAACGATCGAAAGATCCATTATCGCTTTGTCAACTTTCCCGCCAGGAAATAAAACGTTTGATAGCCATATCAGGTGTTTCAGCATAATTGCTGGCTTCATCGGTTTCAACGGTCGTGTCGCATCGATTTTTGCTGATGCTTTCAATAGCAGTTCGATCCGTTTGTCTGCTATTTCAGGGTAAGACGTTTCGTGAAACGTGTGCCACGCCTTAATTCCGCATAAGTATTTTTTCATAGAGGTGGCCGAGATTTTGTAAGAGTTGTTTAAGTATAAATTTTGTCCCGCCCAAAAGCAAAAATCTTCAATATCTATACTACTTGCTGGTAATACGAAAGCGTGGTTTCCAGATAAATTTTTGAAAAATATGAACTTTTTAACTGCTGCATTATATCCTATCAAAGTGTTCCACTTCCAACCTGACAGTAGATGTGCGTTCAAAGCAGAGACTGGATGATGTGTAGCACCTTTTGAGATGAACACCTTTATTTTATTTAAATGGGCAACAGTTAAACATTCTGAGTTGACGACGTCGGTATTTTCTGCCATTGATAACAAATAAATGATATGTAATTTTCTGTAAGGACGGATACAAATTCAAGACCACGACAGACAACTATTTAAATGCTATTAAAAAATCATGAGCCACAAGCTTGATACAAGTTTTGTCAAGTTCTTCATGCGTGTGTTAGCCAACCTTCCCATTCCAGTGGTAGGGTAAATTGAACCCTGTTCCCTGGCTTTAGGTTCCCCACCAATCCTCGTGACAAGGCGTCAGCAATGTTGTTCTTCGACTTTATGCGACGACCGGTTATGTCAAGTTCATGGTTAATCAGGTCGTCTTGTATCGACTTCCACTCCTCGTTTACGTCTGTATCCTTCGATTTCCTCTTCTCTATCACCGATTCGGTTGTCGTGTTGTCTGTCCAGACAATAATATTTGACCCTTTCCGTTGCCGTCGTAAATGAAACAACATCAATAATCCAACCCTTATTGCCACGGTTTCCAACCAAGCTATTGTTCTTTGGTTGTCTTCGCTCCACCACTTGTACTGTAGACGCAATTGAGACCAATATTTCCCGATTAATACCCCTACTCCAAAGCTTGAGGAGGCGTCTCCGATCCACCCTATCTCTTTGGGACTCATTGACATAATAAGACGGGTCGGCTGAAAAGAATCTAGTACTGATGTCCAGCGTTTCAGATCCAGTAATACGTCTGCTGGAGTCTTCCTCTTTGCGTTCAAATCAAACCAGTCTAGCATCCAGCTGTACAGCGCACGTAGATAACATTTCAGTTGCGGCAAGATGTACAAAACATGATTTAGCCTTCCCGTCAGTATTTATACCTCGTTGAAAGAGAAGGATCTTGTCTTGTCTTGAAATTCTCGAATTTGTAGTTTACGTTCTTCTAACTTTGTGTCCGTTAGTTTTACCGTTTTGTCATTTCCATTCCAAACAAAACCTATGAACTTTTGTTCGTCTGAGAATGAAGAGCATTTCTTTTCGTTTGTTAACACTCCTAGGTTCATTGAGCGTGTAATGATTTCGTCCATGCTGGTGTTTGAGGATAATTCTTTGATGAAGAGGTTATCATCGACCCATCTAAAAACTTTGATGAGGTCAAACTCATTCTCCATTATCTGTTTCCAGGCATCTGCTGGTCTTCCAAAAGAACCGCACCCTGCAACACCGCCATAAGTTATTCGGGTGTCCAAATACAGTAGATTATCTAGCCCTTTTACCATCAAGTATCTCCATTGCGAAGGGTGAGTGGGTATCTGCCTATAGGCTTTTTCCCAGTCGAAAAGGGTGCATTTGACCGGTCGTTCTAGTCGCCTGAAGAACGAAGCCACAATATTGAAATCATCCCACGTGGTTAAGAAATCGTCTTTATCGACGAAGGAATTGACTGAAGGGAAATCTGGGTTGTGATGTGGGAAAGACAGATCATTTATTGGTCTCACCGATCCATCACCATTAACTACTGCTCCTAAAGGGCTTGAGCGGAAAAATCCCACCTGGGATTGTACTTCTTCATGTGTAAAAGGTCCGTACATCCTCTTGGTGTCAACTTCTTTCTTCATGGATTCAACTCTTTTATCAGCCGCCAGAGCTGATGACAGATGATTATCTGGGGTGAACCATGGTAAATCGCCTAGGGAGTGATCTGGGATTCCTTGATTGAACCCATATTTGAACCCATGTAGGACATCTCCATACTCCCTCAGTAGATTTGCGCCGGATAGCGCTTCTTTCCACAACACCAAGTTCATTTCACAGGACACTCTTTTAGGCCAACTGGACCATCAAAGTTCGTTAAAATGATTCAAATTTTCATTGTCGCAGTCAAGAAAAAGGAAGACAGATGTAGACGGGGAGCAACGGTGGGCCGCTAAACTAACCGTAGCAGTTAGTGTAGCGTAACGCAGCGGAATCGCTGTTAGCGATTAGCATAGCGTAGCGGAATTCCGCCACGACACCGCTAACGCTACGCGTGTGGGCCGCAAAAAAGGGCCCACTAAGCTGCGCTACAGCCGTTTTTAGCGGTTTTTGGCCGTTTTTTCCGCTAAAAGCGCCGCAGCGCAGCGTAGCGTAGCGAAAATGCGCTAACACTACGGTTTTTGGTGAAAAAAAAGCGCCGCTACGCTACGCTTTTTGGGCCAAAAGCGTAGCGTAGCGGCCCACCGCTGCGGGGAGTAAACGAGTGGAAAGATAAGAACAGCAGAAAGAAAAAACAGGAATCAACAATCAGGTCTTTGAGGGAGTACAATGCCTCTGTAAAGAAGAATAGATCTGGGGGGATGAAACCCGACAGTACAAGCAGTCAAGAAAATTGGTGTATCACTACATAAAGAGAATGCTGATGACACCTACTTCATACTCCCTCCTTTCTTCCCTTGACCATTGTCAGCTCTTCCTTGAGGATTATCTGAGTAATTTGATCCGCAATAACCTCCTCGGGGTCTCTTCTTCCTGTCAGAATTACCAAAATTATTGTGATTATAATTTTGGTTCCAAGACGATCCTCCCCCGCCTGAGTTGTAATTTCTGTTTTAGTTATTATTATAGTTGTTCTGGTTATGACTGTTGAAATTGTTACCCCCATACTGCTGTTGCTGTTGCAAATATGGGTTGTGTATCATCTGGTTGTTGTGGAATTGATTCGAACGCTGTTGCTTCAGACACCCAGTGAGCGGGTCGTGGTTTGCATGCGAGTGGCCCGGAGCGTAAAGATTCTCCTCCCATTCTAGCTCGCCAAAGTTACGACATTGGTTGTAGCACTGCTGGACGAAGGATTCTTTGCGTTGAGAGATGTTGGGGATCGCGTTCTTAACGTCTTCATCCGTGATGCGGTGGGAGAACGTGTTATTGCGAACTTCCATATCGCATCTGAAAGCTACCATAAAGCCGAATTCTTCTGTGATATCATCACAATTGTTCTTGTGTGTACCGAGCAGTTTGGAAAACTCAATGATCTTGTACACGTCGTGCAGAGTTTTGCGGAATGACCGATGATTTTGGGTCCATTGGGCATAGGTTTGAGTCCATTCTTGGACAAACGCGAAACCTTTATAGCCACCCGACTTATCCTTATCGTTTGACAATTCATCGGAACGCTGGAGACGGTCTAGGTGATGAGCCATTGCTCGTTGTTGCCACTTTCGGTTGAAAATAGTTAGTGGTAACGGTGACCGTAACTTCCGGATATTCTCATCAAGGAACGGGGCGAAACCCACACTGTTATGGTTGGTCACTGAGCCAATGGCGTAGACAAGGTCGCCTTCCGTCAGGAAGAACTTCTTGTTGGCTGACTGCTCTTCAACTATGGTGGTCTGCATGACCAACGGTGGGCCAGCTACGCTAACTGTAGCGTTAGCGTAGCGTAGCGTAGCAAAAAATCGCTACAATGTAGCGTAGCGTTAGCGCTTTTTTTCATTTTCAGCGCTAACGCTACGCGCACGGGGCAAAACAATGCGCTAACGTTTAGCGTAGCGTTAGCGCAATTCTCCCCATCTGCGCTAACGCTACGCGCACAGGGCGCAAAAAACCGCCCGCTACGCTGCGCTACAGCAGTTTTTAGCGGTTTTTTGGTGTTTTTTGCCTCTAAAAACGCTGTAGCGTAGCGTAACGCAGCGTAGCGGCGCCAGCAAGGCGCTAACACTACACCAAAAAATGGCTAGTGTTAGCGCCGCTACAAGTTAGCGTAGCGCAGCGGCCGTAGCGGCGCGCTAACACTACACAAAAAAAAAAAATTGGCGCCGCTACGCTAACGCTACATGGGCCCGTAGCGGCCCACCGCTGGCATGACCGATGGTTGGGCCGCTTGGTATGTTACGCCAGTTGGGCCATAAAATCGCGGTACGGCGAAAGTCTCTGGGGGAACTTCAGCGTGTGACTTCACGTTTGCACGGGGCTGTTGTGCTCTCATGGAACCAGTCGCTCGGAACAGCATTTCAGCTAATGCGGAATCTCCAGCGTCTTGGGCCTCAGTTGCGCGGTTCCACATTTCTTGTCTCTCGTTCATTAACAAAGACGATACAATAGCTAGTGAGGCCAAGCAACGGAATCAGGGAATTAGTCTATCAACTACCGTGACCAACGTTGTCAAAACGTGATAATATCTATGCCTACCCGGGGATCTATCCACTTCAAATTCCTCCACTGTGAGGTCATGTATATGGGTGACCTGTCTGTCGACCAGAGATGGTCGCGAATAATCCGCCGCGGATACCCGCCAGTGCCAGCGGGTGCGGATTCGGGTGCGGATGCACCCTTCCCCCTGAAATACTGGCGGGTATCCGGGTATCCCTTGAGATACCCGGTGCCAAGAGGCCACACCGCTGTGGTGGTCCAGGCTGTTGTGCGCAACAAAACTGCCAAAACCCCTACCTTATAACCTAAACCACTTACATATATGAACATATTATTGCATAATCAGAATCTGCATACAATTTTACCCATAGTCACTCACTACAACTATACCTCTATCTCTATTAGTTTAGAAGATAATCCAATATAAAGGTTAAAGCCATACCATAACTAGTCATTAATTAGTATTTAATAGTATTTTACCACATATATATAAGTACATACACATAAACTATTACATCAGCAGGCCTCCACCAGTAGTGCAGACCATTTATGCAATTCTTGCATGCATACGTGCAACCATTAGGCCTCCACTTAGTTACTTAATTGAATTTACGCAGACTTTGCATAAATGCATGTGGACAGAAAAACCTCCACCAGGCAGTGCAACCAGTTATGCAATCCTTACATACAGTAGTACCATATTTAGTTATTTCTACAGCATAATTAGCTCAATGCATGTACTCTTTGCAGGAGGCAGTGCAACCCACCAGGTCACCACCAGCAAAATCACCTCAACTGCATCACCACCAGCAAAAATAGCTCAGAAAAGAATATATAAGGAGGCCTCTCCTTCACCAATTCCCCCCATCATCACCCAGCCAGCACAGTACCCAGCTAGCTCAGTGGTCAACACCATCATCACCCAGCCGGTTCATTCCACACAGCCAGCTCAGTGGTCATCAACACAAACACCTTCAACACTAAAGGTCTAGTCAACACCAGTAACACCAACACCAACAACAACAACAACAACAACAACAACTACCAGCAGTTTCACTACTTATCCAGAATCACCGTAAAAACCATCAACCCTAAAAATATTCCACTTGGATTGTTTTCACACTCACACTCACCGTGTCAAGGTTGTACGACCATCTTGTATTGTGTTACATACTGATCTAGGTCTGATAGAGACTACTACATATAAAGTTTTCTCTGTCATCAAGTTACGCCACAACAATAAAAATAAATTGTTGTCAGAATTCTTGTGTAGTAAATAGAGGGGCAGGTCTTTCAAACCACCCGTAACAGTAAATATTATCTAGTGAAATATCATATTGTTATTTCCCCCTCAAGGACTGCCAACCCATCCCAAAGGAGTTCTCACACCGCCGGGAGGAATCCCTCCCGGCGAGCGTCTACAGGCCAACTCGCTGGGAGCGGTTCCTCCCAGCGAGCTGGATTGTGTAGACGCTCGCCGGGAGGAATCACTCCCAGCGAGCTGACCTGTAGACGCTTGCCGGGAAGGATTCCTCCGGACGGTGTGGCCTCTGCCCCTTTAGCCCGAGGGGGCTGTTTTTTTTTTTCTTTTTTTTCCCTTTTTTTTTTAAAAAAAAAACACTCCTGGAAGAGCCTCGCCACCCATTCAGAGGGCGGGTATCCGCGGGTATCCGCGCTGGTATCCGCGCGGATACCCGCCAACGCTGGCGGGTATCCGCCGGCGGATGCGGATGTGTGTTTCCGCTGAAATTGTGAGCGGATATCCGCATCCGCGCGGATATCCGGATTCAATGCGCCCATCTCTACTGTTGACTATAGGTCTGTCAAATGACGTGGAGGCTTGCTCTTTACGTATTTCATTGTTGGCCGCGTTAGCGGGAACGGGTATGTTCATTGCCACAGGGGCTTGGTCTCTGCGTGATTTGCTTGTGTCTGTGATCAGGGAATATATAGTTTTGTTGTTCTCTAAGGAATGCAACACAATCCTTGGATCAGAAAAAATGCGGAATATCGCTTGCAACCTATGCTAACATTGCGTATAAACGCTTGCGCCCACTACTTACCATTTGCTCGAGGGTTATCTCTCGCGACAAACTGAGAGTTGCCACTGAGGGCTTGGTCATTGCCATCAGGGGCTTTGTTGGTATCTTCCACCCTCTCATTGGACTTCATGGCGTCAGTGTTACCGCCGGTGGGGGTTAGCGCCTTCGTGATGGCAATTTCTTCTAGCTTGTCTTTGCCGGTGGTTGATTCCTTGATCTTCTTCGACGTAGCGCGTGTGCTGTTAGCTTCGACCATGGTGAGTTTGAAAAGTGATTGGTTGGCGAGGAGTGTGTAGGTTTAATGAGGGGAGTGGGGTCTTTAAAAGAAAGAAAAATTTCACTGTGAATTTAATGGTTCGAGGAGAATAAGATTGAAAGTCAAGTCTGATGAGTTGGGTGAATGGATGAGGGGAAAGAGAAATGTAGCGATGAGGGATAGAAGTTAAGTTTTCTATCTCCGTCACGAAATGGCACATCTAGCGCTTTGACCACAGTATTCCAGGGCTGGTCTGGAATACTGCCAACCCAACAATTCTCAGACTTGTCCGTGCACATGGTCAACAGCACCTTCCTTAATACTGCGTAGTTCAGGTGCTACATATGAAACTCAAAGAATCGCTCGCGTTGAGCAGATACGGCTGCTTGATCCGGTAGTTGGTCCATCGTAGGCTACGATCGACTCGAGTGCACTGATGGTATGTATGTGACGGTGATGGTGTCGGCCGGCATGAGTGATGACCACTCGCATTGTATGGATCAACTGGGAAAATAAAATCCCCTCGAATTTATCGATGGCCGATACCCCCAGGTGTCACCGGAGTGTCACAGCCGCGCGCCGCCCTGGATTGGGCTGATCCACTGCCACAGCCAACCTCCAGTCGGAGTAGCTTTTACTCAGCACCAGATATACCTCCGGAGGGACATCGACGAAGACCGATCTGTAGGGTCCATTACTTTCATCGACAGTCTCAATCCTGAGATGGCCTCAGGTTTCCTCCGTTGAGTTCCTTTTTTTCTTGCCCGTTCTCATCCCGAGATTTTCCCGAAAAATGCGGAGCCATTCCACTGGGCAAGCTCAAACGGACTGACATCTCTCTTTTTTTCCTTCCTATGAATGATCAGCACCCTACATTATACCCGGGCAAGAGCCAGGAACGACGGCGGAAGAGCGCCAGGAAATCTACAAGTACCTGCACTGGACCCGACTCGGCCAAGCCGGCCAGGAATCATGTGTGGCCAAGACGATCCTCTCTGGGGCGATGGGTCTCGGATTGGGGGCAATGTTCAGCCTGATGTCAAGCTCCTTTGCTTACGAAGATCCTCTAAGAAGAGACCCTAACTTTGATACGATGAAGTTTGATAAGAAGGCGCGGGTCATGTTCAAGGAAATGGGTCGAGGGATGTGGTCGACTGGCAAAGGCTTCGGAAAAGTTGGGGCACTGTATGCTGGATTGGAATGTTGTGTTGAAAGTGTGAATAAACCTTCTTTCTTCTCTCTCGTTACTCTCCATCCACAATGCATATTTGAATTTCTTTGTAATTGATCGAAATAAATATCTCATTTTTTAAACAAAAAAAAACATATCAAAATCCCGACTCAACCGACAGTATCGCGCCAAAAGTGATCTGTGGAACTCTTTAGTCGGTGGTGGGTTAGCTGGCGGAATGCTGGCATGGCAATCAGGCATGAAGGCCATGCTCTTCGGCGCAGCTGGATTTGCGGCTTTCAGTGGTGCGATTGACGCTTACATGAGGAAAGAGCCCCCGGATGACGATTGATCCAACATATATGATAGCAACATAAAAAACAATACTCCCATGACACATCGCCTCGTTTGAACTGACTGGCACCCGAAGGACACTTTGTGGAGCGAACTTCTGAAAAAGAGCATCATGCAGAAAACGCCACTCAATCTGCTCGGAGTGTAACACCGATTGACTCTGATTAGTGAAGTAGATGGCCCGATATTTGCATACAATACAGGTCAAAAAGTCTGAACAAGAAGAAATTTCGAGCACATTATTTCATGATCGATTTAGGAGGAGAGGATCTTTTTGACTGCCCAATAGTTTGACTCGCTCTTGTTGTTGTTGTTCTCTAGATTTTCCATGATTAGCAGGGATTAATGTGTCACCGGCGTAGTTAACTCCACCGGCCACTGCACCCCATATCGCACATTGCCCTAGAGCCTTAAGAATCAAATGTGGAGGTGGATTGTACACGAAAAAGGCCTCAGAATCAGCTGGCTCAAGCCCCCTTTGAGCCAATATGTTGGTTGAGATCATGTGCAACTTACCGTAGACAAGTGGCCAGCTCGGAGACCTAGCAAGAAACCGGATGCACATCCACCAGCTGTGGCGTTCCAAGGATCACTCTTCTCCCGGATGCTATATTGGGTAATGCAGAATTACAAAATTAAGCAGTGTTGATAGCCATAGAGCGTATACAACTGAAAGAGTTGCTGACCTCGCTACGGATTGACTAACCCCTCCAAAGGCAAATCCGACAGCAGCTTGAGTAATGAACGGGTTGTGGGAAGTTCACAAAAATACCACCACCGATCAGTATCCGAAATATTTAGCCAACAATGAATGAGAAAAAAGCGCGAAACAATCGGCAAGGAAAGAATTATGAACATACTAGCCATGGCACCAAACTTCGCGACGTTCGTAATGTAACCCCGATTAGCCTCAGAGGGAGAGATGACACCATGATTGATCGCACCGACGATCGTTCCGGCAATCTATTAATCGAGCGAATCAGGACCGGCATGGTATCTTAAAAAATCTTGCTTGTGATGGTAGCTATGAGCTAGATAAATTGATGGACACAAGCGTACTCCAGTGTAGAGTCCAAGTTGAGTGGCCGATCCAAGTGCCGGTCGGTAGTCGTAATCTTTAAACTGGCCGCTGGATTGGCCGAGGAAGAGGGATCCCATGAAGATCGGCGGTCTTCGTTCGATGTCACCCATCGTTCCTGTTCTCTTCGATTGCTATCGTTGTGCTCTGGTTCGGTCTTGGCTGCTTTCGACTGTTCGTCCTGGTTAGTGTGAGTGGTTCTTTCTGAGGCCAACTTCTGCAGGACGAGGGCTCCGGGATGGGCCGAAACCCGGCAAGACTCCCGGGGGGGGTCGGGGTTTTGGACTCTTGCCACTGGCCAGTATGTATGCGATCACTTTTGGCCATAGAACACAAGCATTAACAATCCACTCTTCACATCAAACATAAATTAGACCTCATGAATGTGATGGAACCAAAACTACCAGGTTTTTTTTGACAGAGAATAGCTGATCACATAGTGTTAGTTTCAATGAAAAAAATGGTTAACACTACAAACATCTCTTGTTAGCTGATTTTTAGCAGCAGCATGCCAGTGTTTGATAAAACTATGGTGGCATTTAGTGTAGTGTTCCTATCAGATACACTATTGATTACGTTAATTTTATCACATTTAAAGTGATTGTTAGCAGATCATCTGGAAAGAATGCACTAGCAGTCAGCAGTAACTGTGACCAGATATGTAACAGCGTGCAACCCTTGTGTTGAAGTTGGAAGGTGAAATGATTTTCAAATTCCAATCAAAGGCACCAGTATTCAACCTTGATAATCCTGTATTCACTCTGCATGGCCCAGGTATGTTTGAAATTGACATGGACTTGTAGATTTTGAAAGAATGCCTCTTCCAAACCCCAATCAATCACACCCAGTGTCATGTTTTATCAAGCAGGTGTTTACTCTTGAAAAGGTTGAAATTTGGATTGACCTCACAGAGCTTAAATGAAATTCATTAAAAAGGTGACATAAATCTTACCTTGGTAATAGCAAATTGCCAGAATGATAGGAACAGATCAAAACAATGGATAATGTCACATGTTGCATGAAGACAAAATGGGTAAGATTAGCCAGCTTAGAACAGTTGGAATGGTCAGTAAGTAGCTGGTGAAGCTTAAAACAAATGAGAAAGGCATTTTGAGTTACAAGTTCCATTCCATACAGTTGAAACAGTTGGAAGGAATGGATTAGAGTAGCTATGAGTACACAAAGTGTGAGGCTAATTTTTGAAAAGTCAGAATGGTGGGTAAGGGTATCTGTTGTATCTTGCAATAAATGAGGAGGGTAGCAGAAGGATCTAGAAGCTGTGGGATGAGAAACAAGAGATTAAAAAAAAAAGAAAAGAAAAAGAAAAAGAGAAAGAAAACAATCTTGACCACACCCAAGATCTTAACCAGAGGTAAAAATCCTAACCAAAAAAAAGATGGGAAAAACACCCAACTGAAAGAAAAAGTGGACATGCCTTGACAAATTGAATATGCTCACATCTTGTAACTTGGGGAATGGGTTTGATCCCCACAACGGACACATATTTTAAATTGAAGCTAACTACCCACATTAGCAGGCATTTTTGTTTGTAAATTGTTGATCAACAACTGCTCCTTGAATACCTTTTTCAAAATTATTCTCAACTTCCCCAATCCAAAATAATATTTTTGCAGTAAGATTTTTATGTAGTAACAAGTGCAACATTATTAACTTTGAAATATATCTGTCGGCGTCTGTCCAAATCCACCCTACCTCTACATAACGCCGGGGGTGGGTCGGGTCAATCCAACGGTCGGTCGGTCGACCGTCGCGCAATGTGCGCTGGGCGCCCGCCGACCGCCAGGCGAGGGACTGCACGGTTCAGCCAACTCGTCAAGCTTCGATCGTTGGGTTTCCTCTTCAATAATCAATGTTTGCCAATCGATTTATCGTCCAACGACTGCAGCAGGTTTGCTCTAACGGAAGGCTAAGAGCCGAGGGTCCCTCTTGGAGCTCGACAAATCGCCATCCATCCTCATCGCTTCGAATTACACTGGCTCGACATGTTGCCACGGGATCTGAAGTCAAAAGTTGCCCCGAAGCTGGATCCAGTTCATGTCAGTGACCGATGAGTACTTCCATTCAGGCAATCGATCAAACACCTTGCTCAACCATCACTCAAACTCTCCCCCTTATTAGCATCGGCATCAACGATCAGGTCCTATCCGTTCTCAGAAGCCGTAACCTCCTCACCCGAACATATTCCATACGATCAAAAACTGGGCTTGATGGGGAATGTCGAAAAGAAGCTGATTTCGAGCTGCGTCAATCAGGAGTTCCACAACTTGTTTCGGAAGAACCATCCGGACTCAATCCGACCGTTGTCAGTCGTCAAAGTAGAATCATATACCAACGCAGCAAGAACGAGCTCGAATGTGTTCACCGGGATCTTGATGGCTGTCAGAAGGCGAGGCACAGAAACTAGCTTCCGGTTGAGGACGATCTTGGAAAGAGTCGGAGTCGAGATGAAATTCAACGTCTTTAGTCCGGTCATCAAGAATATCACCGTCATCAAACGTGCTGGCGATCTGACGGGTGCGATCAACGGCAAACCTGTGATCAGAAAACCAAGGAGAGCAAAACTATTCTATCTACGTGATCATCCTCAAAAGATGCCAGATATTCGAAAAATATCCAAAGCAGTCATTGCCGCCCAGAATAGAGAAGGAGCCGATCAATAGAGTGTTACCTAGTATTATACATGTCAAATATTAACTCGTTCACCATGAAAGATCATCTTATCATTCTAAAGAACTTTCCAAGTCAGTTGATGGAAACTTTCTCAGAAAAACAGCTTCAAGTGAAAGTAGTAGGAGATGAGCACTCAGCTGCACCTCAATATTCCTGTGAATCAACATTGCTAGTGATCTAGTGCACATTGCCAGTGATTTACTGCTTCCTCTACAATAACACTACAGTTTTGAAAGATGCAACAAATGGATCTTGATTTTAATCTTTGTTGCAGATATCTGTTCCAATTGAATTAAGGTTTCTCTCATCTAGAATGGAGCCCGATTGAAAAATAAATTTGCAACTTTACTCCCAAGAGGATATCTGATCTTTACCTGGAGAGTATGGGGGGGGGGGGTTGTATCATTTGATGATAAGAAATTGAGTAAGAAAGTTGAGCAATCTTGCTAAAAACTGTGTTTGATTTTTTTACAGACAAAACCTCACAAACATATGAGATGGTCTGATTTAGGGTTCCAATCTGGTGCCTCAGAGCGAGATTCCAGCCATTCCGCACCCTCCTGAGCCTGTTGATATCCAGCACTGAGCCGGGGCTTTTCTGGACCTTTGACTGAGTTTTTTCTACACTTTTTTTTGCTGAAATGTAGTGAAAAAGGGGGGTGGGTACATGGGGGGGGGGGGGGAAGGAAACTCAAAACCTCAATGTGGTAGCTTTCCCCCCATACAGGGTTGATGTGGGAAACCTCCACATACTATCCCCTTATTCCTGGGGATTTTGTGGCATCTGGCCAGATGATACCGGATGTCTCTATGCTGATCCCAAGCCCTGAGGCCTGATCCAGTCCACAAAAACCCCCAGGGTTTCCAACCTGAATGAAGGACCAGTCAGACAAAGCTGACTGACCATTTCTCAGATTGCTGGGCCCAAACAGCCACATATCCCAATTCCTGCAATGGACTCAGACTTGAATTGATATGGGCAATCTATGCCAGTATTGTATTGATCAACTGCAAATTCTGTAGCCCAAGCTGGAAAAATTTCAGACTGGATGGAGCATTCACAATATCCTAAAGTAAAAGCTCCTACAATCATCTGGTTTTCTGAGCTCAAAACTTGATGTCTATTGACATCAATGATCCATGATTCCCTGAGACCTTGCACCTCAATTCATAAAGCCTCAAGACAACACCCTCAAGCAGGACTACACTTCCACCAAAGAGAGCTGACTGCAACCAATCTCCACCAAGCTCTCACACTGTTTTTTTTACTGATCAGTCTTGTTCATATAAACACTTATGTACTTGTTTGTAATTACTCAGTCTGGGTTATAAACATGTATGTACATACACACATTCATAATAAGGACAACAAACCAGGCAAAATCCAATCAATTTACATATATGTGTGGGTGTGAAAGGAAAAATATCAATGATTTACTCAAACTCTGTTTTTTTTTTTTTTTTCTTTATAAACAAAGCAATTGAAGATATGTTTATATAGGTAGAGAAAGAGAGACACATACACAAACATAGACTGATAAATTAAACACAGATGGTGAGGTTGAACCCCAAGATAATTATAACATATGAAAAGAATTAACCACAAGCCAAAAAAACACCAAGGACATCTCGGTGGTGGTGAAGGATGAAGATGGGAGGCTATTATGTATTATGTGGACAAGGAAGAAACAAATGTCAGATCCACAAAAAAAACAAATGTCAGAGTTGGAAAAAAACGAGTGTGTATGTTTTGAGGTATGTTTTGATGAATGATGCAAGAGAACAAAGCAGAAAGAAAAAATAAATTCAATGAACAGTATAGATTTATTTTTTTTAGGTATATGTATATATATATATATTTATTGGTGAATGGAGGAAAAAAAAAAAGTGATAAAGGAACAACAAATTTGATTAAAAAAAGGGGGAATGATAAACACCAAAACAGAAGAAGAAAAAAAGTACAGAAAGAAGATGTATATATTAGTAGTAGTAGGAAGAAGGGAAACAATGAAAGATAAACACAACAATCAACTCTTTCTCTGTCTCAAGAAGAAGAAGAAAAAAAAAGGATATATATTTTTAGAGGATTTCTTTTTATTTTTCTGTCAATATTTTTTCTTTTTTCTTTCTTTTCTTTTTTTTTTTGGAAAGTCAAGAGTACGATTTGGAAAGTCAAGAGTACGAGCGGAGGGTAGAGGTATAAAGTACTTTTTTTGTTCCAAGCGGAAAAGAGAGAAGGAGGAAAAAGAAGAAGAAGCCAACCCACAAAACCGATAAGTTTTTTGTTTTTTTGTTTTTGTTTTAAGAGTACAGAGAAAGAAGGAGGAACATAGGTTGGTTGGTATTTATCATGTAAGTATTGGTGGATGTCGAGCGAAAATCGGTCACTCGTTCCTGATCTGATTGAGTCTACGACGATGTTTAAGACGAAGACTACCAGAGACATGGAACCCACTTGAAGAGGAAGAACAGAGTGTCAGGAAAGCATCTGATATTCTGGGTCCGACAGAAAATGGGAAAAGCTTACGAAGAGAACTCGTGGGGCTGTTCGCCGGCGGCGACGAGCACGCCGACCTCCTCTGGTGCGGAGCCAATGGAGCCAGTGGCGGAGTCCGCCAAGCTTAACCGGGGCTCGCGGGGCAAGATTTCTTGGTTGAGGACGCTCCGTCGCCACGGCTTCCGAGTCTCCCGGACGCTGGCACTCATCCATAGTGGCCCTTCGTTTTCGGACCCCCATTTGCCCGTCGACGGCCGACTGGCCCGACCCAGACTGCCAACCGTCCTTCCGCTCATCGGCGTGTTATTACCCGAAGGTTTCGGCGAGAAACTCGCGGACTTCTTCTCGCCAGCAGCCTGGGCTGATCGGTCCGGTAATTGGTTGACTGATCGCTCGCCCAGAATGATTTTCCCATTAGAGCTGATACTGACGTTGCCGCTACTGGTTCCGCTCATCATCCGTCCTCGTTGGTCTCGAGCGTTCATCAGTTTGATGCTTGGACTTCCAAGACGGTTAGAGAGGGTGGGTTGACGTGGGCCAGAGCGGCAGGACCTGTTGCTGATCTTCAAGACTCGTGGACCTTGTTCGGATCGTGGTACCTTTACACATCCGCGGAAACGTTCAGGCGAGACAAAGGCGGAGGGAACCGGAAGTGTGATGAGGATAGGGAAGCCCTTCTGGGCCTGCGACCTGTTGGCACCTTTGGGCTTTGAGGGAGTCATGAACGACTCCCGGCTGTTGACGCTATCTCGACCACGTGTCCTTGGCGGAAGGTTGCCGGCGGACACAGAGACGATCGATTGTCGACCGAATGGGTGCTTAGGGGGTGGAGTCAAGTCGTGGACTTTATTTGCGGAACCAAAGTGGTCGGCTTGGCTTGCCGTGAACGCCTTTCCCGATGTTTGCTTGTAAAGGCGCCGCGACTTTTCCAAGAATGTGTCGATTGATGATCTGGTAGTCGGACTAACAAAATCTAAAAAAGTGAGAGGTGATTGGTCAACTTTTCTCCAGACTTGACTTTTCGTAGTATGTGATTTACCTTTTAGGACCTTGATAGATCTATCTTGATCAGGCCATCTTTCGCGACTTTTCCGCAAGACATCCTCGACCTCTAAGCAGAGTTTCATCCACTTAATTCTCACGCGTTCCAACCGAGCGATTTCGTGGCGCAAGGCCTTTGCGGTCATTTCGTCCACAACCAAGTCTTCAAGATCAATAGTCGGGGTATTCAGATTTTTAGTGGGAGCGCTTGATAGTCGCCGCTGGTCATGTTTGGGATCCTGGTTCTGGGGAGTTTCGTTGCCATGATCCAGGGGATCTGTCATTTCGGTCAAGTTGTCTTCCTTGAACTGATCAAGTCTCTCGCACTTGAACATCGAAGACCTAGTCGATGTCATGGCAGGGGGAGACGAGGGTTGAAGTCCATCAGGGATCCCATGCGCAGGAGTAGTAGTTTGCGGCGACGGAGATGATGGAAGATGCGAAGTACTTGGGCTAGGACAGCTTCCAGTGGGACTAATTGGAAACAAACGAGCGGTGCTACTAGAGATGATTGCTGAAGTGGCGCGACGACCGACGGGGGAATCCTGGAGGTGCTGAGGAATGCTGATTGAGGAGCCGAACATCTTGTTACCCAACCCTTCACAACGCTGGACGCCCAAGTACATCTGCTGAATTTCATGAGAGCTGGATGCGCCAGAATAGCTCGAGCATGTCTCATCTTTCTCGCCAACGTCTGAGGCTGCGACGAGCAGTAAGCCAGGCGTTGAATGCGGTCGCCCGGCGCTTGAAGATCTGGATGACTTGGAGCAACCATGTAACATTGGCCTTTGCCAAGACCGATGGCCGCGCCCGAGAGTTGGGGAATCTTGTAAGCTGGCCATTCCCACGGGTGATAACATACCACGTTCTTGATTCTGGCCCAAGCTAGTCATCCGGGTAGAGCCGTTGCGAGGACTGACTTCCTCACCTTCGTCTTCCTCTAGCTCATCTTCAAATTGTCTAGTGCGGAGAAATGTGCTGATTTGATTAGTTTGTGTGGATTGTGCGGAGGGCTGACTGACAACCTTGGAAGATAAAGGTTCAGTTGAAAGGGGCCGTGGTTCAAGATTTAGATTCTGAGTAAACTCTACATCGTCTTCAAAACTGGGGAAGGGGATCTTCTTGGCAACATGCAGACAACCACCAGCCACCAAGATCTTCCTCTGAGAGCCGTCACCCATCCAGACTGTTTGAGGTTCAAGAACTGTGGGTGCTTTGTGAGCTTGGTCGGAGGATAGAGGAGAATAAGCCCTGTCTTGATTGGAATCTACACAGTCCAAAGAGGGCTGCTCATTGAGTGATTTAGGTGCACTGTCCAGTCTGTCTTGATTGTCGATTTCCGAACTATTGCAATCAGATCTGGAGGCGTTTGAAGAGGTGGAATGCGATTTTAAGTTTTTCAGGTTCTGATCCACAGGAGGTTTCAGTTTGTGTTCAACGGAGCGCCTGGGTGAGCTATTATTAACGCTCCAAGTTGACCGCTTTTGCTGTATCGACGATTCTGGTGCGATGAAACAAGTTTGAACAAACAGTCAGATGAGTACATCAATCAGCCAGCTCAAGAATAGACTTACTTGGCAAAAGCATGGAAAGGTGCCGGTTATTCGAATCAGAAGCTCCTGGAAGTTCGACTGGAAGACTCATGTCGACGTGAGGGTCTTCCAGTTCAAACGTGTATTCATCTTCCTCGTCAAAAGCGCACCCAAAAGATGACGAACTACTACCATTATCCCGAAAGATCTTCTTTGGTTTTTTCTTCAATTTTCGAATCGGTCTTGCTGCTTCACCCTTGAACGCACTCTCGGTGCTACTCCGACCGCTTGCTTTCCTTCTTTGATCAATAACAAGTTGCCTACTAACCCTCCTTGATACTACCCTCTTACTGCCCAAACTACTACGATCAGCCGACTCCAAAGACTGAGTAAACTAGTGCGGATGACACCTGTGCCACTACTTCGGCCAGCTTTCGAACTATCCCGAGCTCGTTCCTCTGCTAATCCGATTCTATCGATCTGCCCAGACTATTGTGGTGGTGCTGGGTCTCAAATTTGTCTACCAGGAGCTTTGACGCTTTGGGTCTCATCTCTCAACTTGATCTCTGCAGGCGTTGGCTTGCGCTTGGAATGTCGTCTCTCACTTGGGACACTGGATCGTCGGTCGACAGCCGAGGTTGATGACAAAGTGCCCATGGATGTAGAGTGGCTGGAGGACGCGATCGAGACGGCCAAGGATGAGTGTGCCGAACATGAATAGCGGGGAATTGAATCGGAGGATGGGTTGATAGGTCGCTCAAAGATCTTGCGCTTCTCTCGAATCGATTGGCTGGACCTCAGGAACGGTTTATTTTGTTGTGGGGTGATTAGACTGACCGTCGGCGAAGAGGCGCTACGGGGAGTATGACCCCTGGAAATTGATGATCGAATCGCTCGAAGACGACTCTCAGCCTTGAAATTAATCAGTCTTTCTGGATTGGCACGCCGGGTGGGAGTTCGACCTAACGCCAGCAACTCTTCCTCTTCATTCTCCTCCCCTGTAAGTGAGACAACAACAAAAATCAGACATGGATTTTTTTTTCTGCAAGCAATGTTGATTACTCGACACTTACCGGTTCTATCAAGTTTATGGGCTTCGAAGGCCACTCTACTTTCGGACTCGGCGGTCCAGGCACGTTGCCTACCAGATACAGAGGAGACTTTGCGTATCAGTGGCCTCAGCCGGGCACTTGCTTTGTTCCTCAATTGTTTCTGGGCGACCTTATACTGCCGAAATCCACTATCGGGACTATTCTTGCTGCGACTAACAGGAGAGGGTGAGCTGGCTTGATTGTTCCTTGACTTGATCATCAACCGGTTCACAGACACCCTTCTCTTCAGCTTCTGCGTCCAAGCATCGGACTTTGCACCAGTAAAACTAAACTCGCGACTGGCTTCGAAATCTGATAGATCTGGCTTGTCTTCGAAAGTCCAAGAGATCGGCCGGTCTTCCAGCTCATTTGACGTGAACTTGGTGGATCCTGCTGGCTTAGTGATGGAATCTATCTCGGGAGGTTTGATGCCTTCGAGTGAACGCATAGCAGCCTCGATGCTAACATTGTAACCATCCAATTCTGGTTCACTCTGGTAGTTTTTCAAGTCATCTGCGTTCGACGTGTCATGATCGCCGCTAGTACAATGATTGAGAACTGGATAACTAATCATCCTCTTGAATTCGACCTTGCGCTTTTCATCCTCGGGATCCATGACTGTGTGTCGGTTGCTCGTAGGGCTGAGGGCTCCGAACAAGCTGCTGGCAATGCTCCGACCGGTACCCGACGCCGTACTTTGATGACGGACATGCTGTCTCTTGGATAATCTTAAGGGAGCAGTGCTGGCTAGCGTGAATCGATCCTTGAATGTCTTTGTCCGATTGAGCAGCGGGGTCTCCTGTGGCGATGAAAGCTGACTTGGCTGTGGTGGTTCATTGGAGCTATGAGGTGCGAGCAGATAATCGGCAATGATTGCATCCTGTAGAGGGCGATTGATCGACAGATCTGATAGCGAGGGGTTCTGGACGAGACTGGGTGAGGGAGAGATCAGACGCGGAGGATCGATCGGGGCACGGCCCCATCCAAGGCCGCGCATCATTTCACTCTTGGGGGGTCCAGATATGGGACGATCTTGCAGATCTACGTGATCGGGCGCGTTGTTGTGGGGATGATGCGCGTCGGAACTGCATTTGGATGAGGTACTGTGGGTTGTGAGATCGAGGTTGTGTTGGCTGGAGGCAAACTTGGGGCGAATAACCAGCGATGGTGTCCGGGAACGCGGAAGTGGAGGAGCTTGGGCCAGTTTCGGTCGTCCTTGTCGGTTGGTGACGCGATGACTGGGCATGTTGGGCGAAGGACAAGCAAAGGGCAGTTCGCTGAAAGGCTGGGAGAGAGTGTCATGGGTTGTATCCGAGGGGGATGGCGGCAAAGGACATTGAGGTGGGGGAGAACTGATTGGGGGACAGGATGCTTCTGAAACTCTTGACTGGGAGACTGATCCAAGACTATGGGTGCTGGAGTTGGAGATGAATGGCCCAGGAGATGGAGTACGAACGGTAGCTCGAGCGGCGGCTAGTGAGGTTAGATGAGAATGAGAAGAGAGAACCTCCTCGTGGTCATCGGACAGGGACTCGAATTCGGAGTCTGTGGGACAGTTGAGTGAAGGATGTAAGGAGGATGAGGAAGAACTGGGATGGCTACCGGCAGGTGGACTTGAGGTAGTACAGGTGGGTCGAGGGTGTGTTTCAATAGACTCATCGGAACAGATAGATTTGAGGATGGCCGAACCACTTGAAGAAGATCGACTAGCAATTGAATCAGAATGGTTTGACAAACTCCGAGGGGCAGCTTGGGGCCGATTTGCAGTCAGATAGGAAGCAGCAGAAGTTGATGATGCTGAAACATTGGAAGAAATTGAATGAGATCTGACGAGGCTGTGGAAGATCGAGGATTTCTTATGAGGTACTTTCTGAGAGGGATTGTTTGGACCGGGGTAAGGTTGTGAGGTATCATCAGGCAGAACCTGCTCAGATGACAAGTTGGGCAAGGAAGCCTGATTGGAGGTAGAACCACCGGCAGAGGAAGCGGAAGAGGATGGCAGCCTCCATTGGAAAGGTATCCGCGAGCGAGGTTTGCGGCTGACGGCAGTAGTAGGCTTAGGTGGAACGGCTTCTTCCGGTTGAGGTTGCCTGAGCTTGCGTTTTTTGAGCTGCTGCTGTTGAAGCCACTGTGGCAGCGGTGGTGGTGGGCGGACTATTGGGGGTGAAATCAGCTGTTGGACTGCATAGGTCAAGATGGATGATCGGAGTACATATTTAGATTAGAAAGAAGGAGATAGATGATGCAGTGTTAGTTTCAGTCTGAGTCTGAGTGTGAGTGTGGTTGAATGTGAGTTTAGTGAGGGGGGGAAAAACTGAACCTGATGATGAATTCTGCTGATTCAATGAGGGTCGGCCTGGCCGCTGGGACTGATTTGAGGCTGATCGATGGTTTGGATTCCTACGGGGCGGCGGGGATGGTTGGGCAAACGGAGCATGGTTGCGTCGGACT